GTAATTGTAAGTTTTCTACCGCTTGAGCAAAAGCAAATGCCTCAGACCTTTTTCTCTAGTAATATAACACCAGTTTCAAAAGTATCTGTGTCTTTCTGCTGCATAAAAAGCCCAGTTTTATGTAAAAGCACCACCTTTCCAGCGATGAAAAAACTCTTAAAACTGATTTTTAGTTTGAGTGGAGCCATTTCTGTGCTTCACAAACCTGTTTCCTGCTTGTTACATTTCATACATTTCATAATTACTTGAAGTTCCAGTGGTCTGAATGAGTAGTTGCATGCTGTTTTTACAACATAATGCTGATCACATTTAACTAGAGGTTGCGTAAAATACACCATGTTCTGTAGAAACCACTTTTAAAACTCTCATCAACAAACTGTGTATAAAACAGCGGGTGATGTGCATATCACTGATCTGTCAGTGCTAACATCTGTATGGGTGGAAAAGCGAGTCGAAGCTTGTACCAGCTGTGCTGTTTGCTCCATTTATATCAAATTTTATGCAAGCTTCTACGCAGGTTCACATGTATAATTCACTGTGTGGATCCTCTCGCCAATCTGAGGTTCCTCAGTTTCACATTCCAGTCAACACCTTGGTAGGAAAATTAAAGGTGCCCTGTAGAGTTTTCTTCTGAACAAAAAATACTACATTTATATTTGATGTTACTTACCACAACTCGCTGCGTATATCCTGGAGGTCTATTTTGCAAAGACAATTTTTAAATATTTAGAAAACAACAAACAAAAAACAGCTCCATAGCGCTACTAGAGAACTAGAGGTCTCCACATGGCACCATTAAATTTTTCTTAGATTCTTTTATTTTATTCTTTTATTAGTTTTTCTCTCTTTGGTGCAACAGCTCAGTAAAAAAAAGCCTATAAAACACAAGTTAAAAGCCATATAAAGAATAATGACAACGTTCTGTACTGGATTGACACTACTTGAAGTCACTGCAAAGCCACAAGGGCACAGTTTTTCAATAACAGCCTAATAAGGTCAGAGAGGTGGTCAGAAATTTGCATTTATATACAATATTTTAAAAAAAAAACACTGTACATGATTTCCTACCAGTCACCTCAGTCTATTGTCCTAATCTAAACAAGAAGATTGAATCCAGAAAAGAGCAGAAGGATAAAACCAGAGGCAGACGATCCATCTGGTATCAGAGTTGGGGTACAGCGGGCTTGAAAGGAAGAGGTTGGCACTCCCCCCCTCGGGAGGGGTGAGCTAGCTGCCTGGCTGCACTGGGCCAATATTAAATGCTCCCACATGCTGGACTGCAGCTTGAAAGAAAAAGGAGCAAGAAAGAAAGAAGACAAGAAAAGCCTGAAACACACACGAAGAAGAAGTGTTTCTGCCATTAAGCATTTACACTTACTATCAGTGAGAGGCAGAGTGCTGCCAGCGCTCATATATGAATGATGCATTTTCCCTCAGGGCACATTCACAACCTGCAGCTAAAACCCTGCACACACACACGAACATGCACACACACCAAGCCTCCCTGTGCTCTCTCTACTCCTCATTCAACTCCCATCTCTCCTCCTGTTCCTCCTCTTCCACGTCTCCTCCTCACCTTACTCAAACATTTCCTTCATTCAGCTGTTTCTGTGAATATACTCTTTGCTATAACGAGGCAAAAAACTCTCTCTTTCTGCTTTTATAGATGCACTTATGTCCAAATCCTTCACTATTTATTGTAGCACTCGAACCATTATCCAGAGGTATTGTTGCTTACGAGGAGAAAACAGTTATATTTATAACGTGAGCTTGTGAGAAACGGCCCACTGTGTCTTATATTTATGAGATCAAATACAGTTTATCAGCATAAAATGCACACATCCTCAAATCAATACCAGAGTTGGTGGTATTCAATAAAAGAAATGGGTCTTAAATGTTGCCTTGAGATCAGAAGTCTGTTTTTGGTGCAACATCACTCATGTGGTGATCCTTTCAACAAGTCCAAACTAAATACTGAGGAGAAAATGTGCAGCAATTATAGACTGATGTTAAATAATGTAAATTAATGATTTTAATCAAACACTCCCCAGCCAGCAGACGCATTAGGATCACCAAAAGAAATAAAAGTTTAATTTGATTATATGAGGAATGCACTGCCTTTTAAACTAATGGGGGATTCTTTTCAGTATCTGACATCCACAGCTGCAAGTTTTACAATCCACAGGAATTATGGCTTCTAATCATCTGCAGAGAGTGTTCCTTTACAGTATCACTGACAGCTGAAATACATGGGGCACAGACACAACGCATCACATAGGCAGAGCTTTTATACCTGCTACACAGGCTCTGTCTTTGCGGTGTGTGGTTGCTGCCAGCTTTACTGTGTGTGTTGAGGTTTAATAAGCGATAACGCAGCTGGTTATGCAGAGTTTGGAAGCATAGGCTATATTAACTGGGAGTGAATTAATCAAGTGGAGAGTTTTAACTACAGGATGCATTACATTGACTGAGTTATTTTACTGTGAAATGTAAAAACACACACAAGGTTATTCTGCTGCTTCACATTTCCTGTTATAATGAGGTATTCATTTTTGTCACTGTTAAAAAAGACAGTCAGTTTTACACAGTTCTATGTAGTTACTACCTGCTGAAGGGCCATGGAGCTACGAGTAGAGGAAAAATAATTGAACAGACATGTAAAAATAACGCTGAGCAGTGCGGTTTCTATGGTCAGTGTAGCAGCTTCACTTTGTTATAACGGACACACTGCATCCATGTCCCATGTATTCCGGCCGTGAAAGGAAAAAAACAAAGTATAAATAAATTAGAAAGGTGCTGGGAACACCTTGCAGTGAGGTGTGGTCTGGTGCAAAGCTGCCACGGGCTGCAGCCTCAGGCTTTGCCAGGAAATTGGGTCAGTTGAATAAAAATATCAAGGGCAACAAAAAGATGTATTGATGTCCAGTGCACTTAATGTTTACAGTACTGATTTATACAAGTTGAAGATTCAACAAGTGCAGTCAATCCATTTCATATTTCATACTCAAAGCAGTAAGTTGTAACTGCAGTTTCCCTCAGGTTTACAGCAACCTCACAGAGCCTCACTGATCACATCTGTGAAGCTAAACAAACGCAAACAACATAAAAATAGACATAAATTGATAAGAAGCAGACCTTCGGATTAAGTGCTTGCTGTTCTTTTCTGTTTTTTGTTCAAGGATCTATTTTTAGTCCTGCAGGCTCTGGTGTGGTCTGGCTTTCCAAAACAGTTTTCTGTCCTCACTGTGTACATTTAGGATTTCACCAAGTTAACTGGTACAGACAGGGACAGTTAAATCAAAAACATATTTTTTCTCGTTCCTGTAGTGCTATTTATCAATATAGATTGTTTTGGTGTGAGTTGCCAAGTGTTGGAAATATCGGCCGCAAAGAGATGTCTGCCTTCTCTTCAATATAACAGAACTAGGTGGCACTCAGCTTGTGGTGCTCAAAGCCCCCCAAAAATGCATTTAAAAATCTCAACAGCAATGTCTCTTTCCAGAAATCATGACCTGCTTACTCAAGATAATCCACAGACCTTGCTGTGAGCAGTTTCATAGGAACTATTTTCTTTCTACCAAACTACACCTGCCAAGCGTATCACCACGAAGAAAGAAGTGTGCACCTACTCATGGAAGAGAAGCTCTTGCCAGTGCAAGATGTAAAAACATTAATGGAGTTCTCCTCGACTCAGCTGTAACGTTAGCTTGCTCAGTGGTGTTTGGTGAACTAGCAGTGGATGCACAATTATTTCTGCATGGTGATAGGGTTGGCGGGTGTAGTTCAGTAGAAAGAAAATAGTTCCTACATGAAACTGCTCACAACAAGGTCTGTGGATTATCTTGAGTAACCAGGTCATGATTTCTGGAAAGAGACATTGTTGGTGAGTTTCTCAAATGTATTTTTGGCACTGTGAGCACCACAAGCTCAGTGCCTTCTAGTTACATTATATCAGAGAGAAGGCAGACATCTCTACGGATGATATCCCCAACACTCAGCAACTCACACAGAATTAATCTACATTAATAAATTCCAATACAGGTAAAAGGAAAAATATGTGTTTTGATTTTGTGGTGAACTGTCCCTTTAACTCAAATATCTCTGCAAGGATCATGGCACGAATATGTCACACTTGTACAGGCTGGATGCAGAGAAAAATGATTGTGCAATGATAATCATTACAGTAATGACTGGCAATAACCAAAGCAACCTATGGGCCTCATTACAGTCTCTTCTACTTGTCCCAAGTAATGAATGAAGGAATAAATGTGCAAATGTCTGTCTCAGTGCAATCTAGTGTTACAGTAACCGCTTATCTGCCACTCTGGTGTGTATTCAGATTCAAGATTCAAGACCTTAATTTGTCCCTGAGGGGCAGCTGGTTCTGCCGCAGTGGCAATGAAACAACACAGAGCGAGACACACAAGATAAAAACCACACATACATTATCTCATATAATTATAATAATTAAAAAAAACATTATAGAGAAAAACTCATGTGAACACTTGAGTGCAATTTACGATATTAGTGACAAAAAGAACAAGGGAAATAAGGAGAACGGGCATGGTGCTGCCTGTACCTCAAATTGTTGCTGTTTCTAAAGTGTATGTATGCATGTTAGAGGGTCAGTTCATGCATATTATAAGTGCAGAGATTTGCAAGAGGTGAAAGGGTCAGTTACATTTCTAAAACCTGACAGTGATGTGTCTTTTGTCCCAGGTAACTTGCTGTGGACAGAATCAGTGTCTTCTATCTGCTGTAGATGATAGTTGCCAATGAAATACTGAAACGTAACTATGTGTGAGGATTTAAACACACACCTGTGTAAAGCCAATGTGCCAGTCTTAAGCAGAGCCAAACAGAACAGATATGTGATGTATTTGTGTCTGTGTTGCTGAAACCATCTCTGCCCCTCAGGTTGAAAAGAGAGTGAGTAGGTGGCACAGCCAAAGCACAACTCATGCAGTTTGTCATGAGAGATTAACACATCTTCTGCTTACCTGAGTGAGAATATCCAGCTGACCTATGATGTGTTCCAGGGTGCTGGCGAGACCAGGGGGGACCCCTCCATCTGAGGCCTGGGACTGTGCTTGAACGTGGGGTGAATGCTGCGATAAACCCTGGGTTTGTGTCTGGTGGGTGGAGGTGGTGCTCGTGCTGAGGTGTCTGTTGGTTTGGGAATGAGTCGCTCTGCTGTGGCTGCCACTGTGGCTGCCACTCTGTGTGTGGGAGTCCTGTCCATTGAACTGATCTGATGGTTCAGATGCCTAAAATCAGAGAGGAAGAAGGGTGACGAGTTGTTACAAGCTCTGATGGTCTTTGATGTGCTTTACATTACATACTGTATTGTGCAGAGACACTGAAATGTGCGCTACACCATCTGTTTCGTGCTCCTTGAGTGTACCATGAAAAAAGTTAATGGTTGAAATAATGAAACAGGCTGTAATTTGTTTAAATCCTCAACCACAACTCTCTTAAAGGGACAGTGCACCCCACATTTCCTCCCTTACCTGTAGAGCTATTTATTAATCTAGATTGTTTCGGTGTGAGTTGAAGAGTGTTGGAGATATCGCCCGTGGAGATACCACCTTTTACACTGCCAGATTTTCCGCAAATGTTGGGCCATTCTGACGGCAAGCTGCGAGCGTTTAGACACACAGAGCCGGATTGGCGAGTTGATCTGAGGTACCCAATTTTCCGCCTTGTAGGGCAGACATATTGGCGGAACCCTTTTAGTTCAAACAGCCCGAGGCGGCCTTCTGCAACGGGAGGGGCTGTTGATGACTTGTGTTGATGATGCCGCACGTGCGACCCACTGGCGGTGGATAAACAGGAAACAGCTGATAGCAGGAATTAGCAAGCAGCTAGTAGCAAGAGGGAAACACAAACCTGACGGACACTGTAAAGATGAACAACTGAGGAGACAAGAAATTGCGTACCCTCCTTGTCCTTGCAAACGAAGAGGCCATAATGACAGGAATGGTGAGGAACGGGCCGACTAATGAGAGAATCTCCTAAGGACTGACTAGCCGTGGCTTCCCTCCACGTCACTGTTTACGTCACACGCTGAGCTACATGTTTTGTTACTTGCTCACGCCCCCCATTGCCCCGAAAAAGGCGCATTCTGTATAAACAAAAGTAGGCAGGCGGCATTTCGCTGCACTCCCCGATTTTGTTTTTATACTGCCAATGCTGAACGAAGACTGATTGGGCTTTCCTGCAAATTTGCACAACTCCTATCTAAAAAGGGCTAATGTCTGCCTTCTCTCCAATATAATAGAACTAGATGCCACTCAACTCATATATTTGAAAAACTCAACAGCAATGTCTCTTGCCTGAAATCATGACCTGGTTACTCAAGATAATCTCCAGACCTTATTGTGAGCAGTTTCATGTAGGAACTATTCTATTTCTATCGAACTACACCTACCAGCCAAATCACTGTGTAGAGGTACTTGTGCATCTACTCATGGACAAGAGACTTGTGCTCGTGACAGTACGTGATGTAAACATTAATGGCGTCCTACTCGGCTGAGCTGTAACATTAGCAGTAGATCCACACTTCCTACTCGCAGTACTCTCTTGTATGAGCAACATATTTTGCTCAGATCTCTGTCAGAATATTTTTTATGGGCTGAGTGTCGATACCACAAACATTTGTGACTCAAATGTTTATCGGACTAAAAATGCACTTACCACCAACTCATGCTCCGTATAACTGTATATACTGTGTGCAAATCTCTTTCTGTTTAATAACATCTTACAAAAAGTATGTCTAGCTATAATTTTGTCATCCGGATTTCCATATGGTAATTTTGAACTATTCTGTGCACACTTCTGTTGCTCTTACTTTCTTTTCATGTTGAAGTTTTTCTGTTTCACTGTAAACAGGAAGCAATGAAGGGAATTCACAGCAACTAAAAAAATTTCATCCTCTCTCTTCTTATTAAACAAATGGATTTCATTAGATATTACTGCCTGCTGCTGTTTTTCATTATGTCTATTTAAGACATGTAGTAACTGTTAATATTTTAGCTCTTTCATCCCAACCATTTGACCCACTTATTACTTATTTATTGTTTTTATCTCATGTGTTCTAACCCATGGCAGAGGAAGTTTTGTCTGTGAAGTTTTTAAGCGTAGGTTTGTCTGTGAAGCTGAAGACAAATTTCCACATGAGTGGACAAAAACGCTGAGTGAGCTATTCTGTTTGTCCTTACCTGAACCAAAGTGTCTAGAGGGTAAAGGATGTCATGTGCAAATTGTAAAGGCCTTTGAGGAAAATGTGCGATTTGTAATATTGAACTGTATAATAAAACTGACTTGACTGAGCATATACAGTATGTTCAGGGTTGAATCTATCACAATCTTCCAGTTTGATGCATCCAGTGAAATGTGCAACTTCGTTCTGGTAACAAAATAAGTCAGTTTTAAAAAGTATGACAATCAATTAAACATAAAAATCAAAACAACAATAAATAAAGATCGTAAAATGTTCTATAAAATTAAACATGAAAACACACATTGATGAAATTATTTGGAGAAAAAAATCATCTACGAAGCAAAGCAAAAATATACAGTACAGGCCAAAAGTTTGGACACACCTTCTCATTCAATGCGTTTTCTTTATTTTCATGACTATTTACATTGTAGATTCTCACTGAAGGCATCAAAACTATGAATGAACACATGTGGAGTTATGTACTTAACAAAAAAAGGTGAAATAACTGAAAACATGTTTTATATTCTAGTTTCTTCAAAATAGCCACCCTTTGCTCTGATTACTGCTTTGCACACTCTTGGCATTCTCTCGATGAGCTTCAAGAGGTAGTCACCTGAAATGGTTTTCCAACAGTCTTGAAGGAGTTCCCAGAGGTGTTTAGCACTTGTTGGCCCCTTTGCCTTCACTCTGCGGTCCAGCTCACCCCAAACCATCTTGATTGGGTTCAGGTCCGGTGACTGTGGAGGCCAGGTCATCTGCCGCAGCACTCCATCACTCTCCTTCTTGGTCAAATAGCCCTTACACAGCCTGGAGGTGTGTTTGGGGTCATTGTCCTGTTGAAAAATAAATGATCGTCCAACTAAACGCAAACCGGATGGGATGGCATGTCGCTGCAGGATGCTGTGGTAGCCATGCTGGTTCAATGTGCCTTCAATTTTGAATAAATCCCCAACAGTGTCACCAGCAAAACACCCCCACACCATCACACCTCCTCCTCCATGCTTCACAGTGGGAACCAGGCATGTGGAATCCATCCGTTCACCTTTTCTGCGTCTCACAAAGACACGGCAGTTGGAACCAAAGATCTCAAATTTGGACTCATCAGACCAAAGCACAGATTTCCACTGGTCTAATGTCCATTCCTTGTGTTTCTTGGCCCAAACAAATCTCTTCTGCTTGTTGCCTCTCCTTAGCAGTGGTTTCCTAGCAGCTATTTGACCATGAAGGCCTGATTGGCGCAGTCTCCTCTTAACAGTTGTTCTAGAGATGGGTCTGCTGCTAGAACTCTGTGTGGCATTCATCTGGTCTCTGATCTGAGCTGCTGTTAACTTGCGATTTCTGAGGCTGGTGACTCGGATGAACTTATCCTCAGAAGCAGAGGTGACTCTTGGTCTTCCTTTCCTGGGTCGGTCCTCATGTGTGCCAGTTTCATTGTGGCGCTTGATGGTTTTTGCGACTCCACTTGGGGACACATTTAAAGTTTTTGCAATTTTCCGGACTGACTGACCTTCATTTCTTAAAGTAATGATGGCCACTCGTTTTTCTTTAGTTAGCTGATTGGTTCTTGCCATAATATGAATTTTAACAGTTGTCCAATAGGGCTGTCGGCTGTGTATTAACCTGACTTCTGCACAACACAACTGATGGTCCCAACCCCATTGATAAAGCAAGAAATTCCACTAATTAACCCTGATAAGGCACACCTGTGAGGTGGAAACCATTTCAGGTGACTACCTCTTGAAGCTCATCGAGAGAATGCCAAGAGTGTGCAAAGCAGTAATCAGAGCAAAGGGTGGCTATTTTGAAGAAACTAGAATATAAAACATGTTTTCAGTTATTTCACCTTTTTTTGTTAAGTACATAACTCCACATGTGTTCATTCATAGTTTTGATGCCTTCAGTGAGAATCTACAATGTAAATAGTCATGAAAATAAAGAAAACGCATTGAATGAGAAGGTGTGTCCAAACTTTTGGCCTGTACTGTATATATATATTTTTTTTATTTCTTTTTCAATTCATTTTTCTGTCAACTTATTGATTAATTGACTTTCAGCACTCTTTACACACTGGAGGTATGACAAATAAATGACCCAAAATGAGACATATTTAGCTGCACCAAAGCCATAACAGCAGCACAACAAATTTGCAACACTTGCACCAGGTTCGCCATTGCCATGGCATTGTGAAGTGAGGCCTGTTTCATACAGTGTGACTGGTTGATGCTTTTATTGGTAGTTTAAAAGCTCTGAAAAATCAACCTTGTTCCAAAAAAAATTAAAAAAAACCCTGCTTTTTTGATATATAATATTTACATTCTGCAGGAAAGTACTAATGACAAAAACAACAGTTCAAAAATAATAATAATAATAAAGTGCGAATTAACTTCTCTTTTATTTTCTCACAGAGTGTAACAACACAGGAAGAACTTAAATGCACCCGACATTGGAAAACAATCAACACCTTGTTTAAATGGATTTTGTTTCCATGACGGAGCCTTTTACATAGACTTCAGATGACTGAGTCAAAAGAGGGAAACTGTCGACTCTCTCTTTCTCACTCACTCACACACACACACACACACACACACACACACACACACACACATTGAAATTGCCAGTCAGTCTGTCTGCTCTGTGATTAATTCAGTGAGACATAAACACATGGAGGTCAGTGACCACATCTCTCCATAACCATGTCTATGTGACTAAAAACTGTGTGCACACATCTATAGGTGTCTCCATATTTCTGTCTGTCTCGGCAGACCTCTGTCTGGTTGTGAAGAACAATGTGTGTGTACATGTGTGTGAGTGTACATCTGTTCCAAGACGACAACATCTCGTCTGCATCTCAGTGAGGGAGACAACAACTGTTTTACTCATCACCACGCAACAGGAATTCTATTCACACTCAGTTAAGCATGTTCGAGACCTCTGTGTCAAACTGTGCTCTTCCTAAATGAAGCCAGATGAGCAGAGTTGTCAGCTGTCACCTGGCTCTACACATTCACCACAGACAGCGGTACTGTCACTATACAATGGGCAGCA